CCCCCCCGCGCCCCGAGTGCCGCGATCCGGTCACTACACCCTGCACCGGCCGTCCCCACGCTCCGCCCCGAGAGGCGGAGCCCCCATTTCGCGCCGCTCCCCCTGCGTGGTGCGGAACGCAGCGAGGACGTGACGTCAATCACGGGGGGCGGGACTTCCTTGCGTCATGGCCACGTGACCCGCACCGGACGGTCACGTCTAGTCGCCCCGGCAACAGCCTCTCTCACGCACCGCGTATCCTGTTTCGCACCGGAAATAGGTCCCTGCTCGCCCACCGCCCAGGATTCGCAAGCTACGCGCTCTCGAGGTGACCCTGGGGGCGGCTGGGTTTCATTTGGGGAGTGAAGGAGGCCCCTGGAGGCCCCTGAGCCTGACTTTCTCTGAGGCCGGGAGAGCACAGGGCTTGCCTGTCACTTTATCGTCGTAATTATCAGCATCCCGCTAATTGTGAGAGGGAACTGGTTCCAGAGCCCCTCGGCTCTGCCGTGCGCCAGAATCACTGGATGGCTTTTAAATGCCCGGGCCTCCATCCCAGACCAGTTAAATTCGAATTTCTAGAAGTGGGGCCCCGGCATCGGTATTTTTATGAAAGCTCCCCATTGTGATTCTGACGTGCCAGGTAACACTATGTCAAGCTAGGTCTGGAAGGTGAATTCGGACTTTGCCCATCCAGCCCAGAGTCAGAACAGATCACCCAGGTCAGCCTCATCCTTAGAGGGAAGTCTAGGATATTAGCCCGTCTATTCAAAAGTTGGGGTTTTCTTTTCCTCTCTTTTCCCTCGCACGTTGACCTCTGGGAGGTCAGAGGTTTTGATGGCAGTTATCTGGAGAACATTTGGCATCTGCCGTCCTCTCTGCGCCTTACCTGTGGAGGTGGAGAATGTCTTTTCCCTTTGTTCTTCCTCAGTAGTTAAGTCAGTAGCCAACGAAGTACCTTTTAGCTCTGAAATCCTGAGGGTCCCTTAGTACAGACCAGATGGTTCTGAACAAGTTTGTTTCAGGAATGATTTTTAAAGTTGTTTCACAGGCTAGATTCTGTATTCAGCTGCTTTGCACCTTAAGTCAGAATAACATTATTTGAAAGTTTAGACTGAAGATTAATAACACAAATAGCATTTCTGGAGTTACTTACTCTCAGAGTTCCCATGAATTATGGCGTGGGGGTAACCTTTATACGTACAGTTTTTACTAATATAGTTTATAGGAGTAACAGCCCCTTTGGGATGGCAGTGTGAACAGAAACCATATATTTTCCAAGACTGTTAGCTAGTAACTTTGGATAGGCATAACTGAAGGCGAGTTCACAGTAAGGTGTACAGATCTCCTCTGAGTATTCGTTGTTGTGCTGGGAAAGGATATAAACTAAAGCTCCAGAGAGAATTTTCATTCTAAAAGTGTTTTACAGAGGGTGAAGGATTATTTTGGTTTTTAGGGTGCAACATTTAAGGATAGGGTGAAGTGAGAAGAAAGGGAGGAAAACTGAACAAGTAAGCATAGAGTAGAGGTTGGAGAATTCGCAAAATAGATGCGGAACTCGTGAAACTTCCTTCCGCATTCGCGGAAACGTAGGGCCGACTATACCACGCCATTTTATGTAATGGACTTGAGCATCCGCGGATTTTGGTCTCTTCCGGGGGGAGGTCCTACAACCAATTCCCCACGAACACCGAGGGACGTCTGTCTGTACTTCTCGACACTAGGAAATCCAGCTATAGATCAGTGTAAAAAAGTGAACAGGTGAAGAAAGAGCATAACTTGTTGATCAAAGGTCAGATGATTTGAAAATATCTTTGAAAACATATTAATGTATTTAGATATCTACTTTCCGAAAAGATTTGGAGCTTTATCGCCAGAGTTATTTGAGTTACTAGCTACTCAGTGATTTTAGGGAGGGTAGAGGTTGGAGGAAAGTGTTAACAGGAAGTGGCGAGATCCCAACAGCGTCCAAGGGCAGGAAATATTAGCTGTGATTTTTTTATGCTGGAAGGAAAAAAGGAAATTTAAAAGGAACAGATGGCAGAATCCAGGCCTACAAGTAATTGATTAAATGCCCAAATGAGAGGGGCATAGTGGGTGCCGTTTAAATTCAGAAAAGAGAGATTAACGTGGAATTACCCTGTATGTGTTTATGGAAGGAAAATTTGAAGTAAGCTTCCTGACATCCAGTGGTGACTTTAACCACTTTAAACCAGTCGTGGTTTATGCTCTTAACTTGTATTACCTACCTGTCCAACCCTTATTGCGTCATGGTCACACTAGGTTTTGCTGTTTGAAGAATATACTTGCAGTGAAGGGAACTTATCTGTTTCCTCTTTTGCATTGTATTCTGTCCTTGTCGGTTACCCCAATTTTCAGCTTTCACATTGCCTGTTGTGTTCAAGAGTCAGGGGGTAACCTTGTTTTGGGGCTGTCCTCATATTTCACTTCTTATTCTTATGTTAGTCACATGGGGATTTGGTGAACTTGCAAATAAATCCATTCCCAAATCCATCACCCTTGCTGACAAATTAAACGGTGCCGTTCTATGGGTAGAATATGGTTTGTATGGAAAAGAAGAATTGTTAACTACGTCCTTTCAGCCATGAAACTTTCAGCAAAGGAGCTACGTTCCTTCCCCATGCTGTGCCTTCATTGTGACATTGCTTCTTATTGCAACAGCCAGAAGAGTAAATTGGGGCTTGGGGTCGAGAGAATGAAAGGGAAATGAAACTCAAGTTTGAGGCTCCCTCACCCATGAGTTTTAACTGTTATAGGTGGACAGAGGCAGGCCTTCTAAACACAGTAGCTTGTGCGCTTGTAGGAGGCCTGTGTCCGGAGGAAAGATGGAGCTTGGACTGCTGAGGGTGGGAAAAGGCCTTTCAGACTTGAGCCATCTCTGATGTCTGAATCACTAAGCCGGGACCACTCCAAGCCACAGGAGGGAGCCTCTGAGGGCAGCAAGCCAGCTGAACTTGCCAGCCTCAGATCGAAGCTGGGGGTGATGGCAAGAAGCAGTGCTCTCCAAAAAACCGCATTTTCTCATTTGTCTTAGTTGAGGAAGTTCCTGCCAGTGTGTGCGCTTACTGGGAGACATCTTCTCTGATAGGGTTATTACCGCATATACCGAGATTCCGTAGAACTGCGCATGACTCAATGTATGTAATTCAGATTTCTCACCATACCGTCATTTATTTTGAGCCATCTCCAGCAGACCCTGTTCCTTCTACCTTGAAACTGTATACTGAAGGCCTAATTAGATCCCCCCGATTCTCTGGTTGACTCAGAGAACCAAATTAGGGAGAGCCTTATGGGAAAGTTGCGTATCTTATTTAATGACCAACGTTGAATGTGTTTCTATGCAAAAATCAAAGCCGATGAATTTTCATGTATTTAATTTTCAGAATTCTAGTGGAAAAGGAGGATAGAGAGGAAAATCCAGTTACAGAGGATACATTATCATTTCAAAGGGAATTTGTGTTTTATTTATCTGGTTGCTATGATGCATCCTAGATCCTATATTTATAAGAATCTAAATAGGCAGTAAAAAGAATTTGTACAAGGAATTCCCTGGTGGTCCAATGGATAGGACTCCGTGCTTCCACCGTCCGGGGCACAGGTTCAATCCCTGGTCAGGGAACTAAGATCCTACAAGCTGTGCAGCTCAGCCAAGAAAAAAAAAAAAAAAAAAAGGACAATGTCACTACCTTTCAACAAAGCCACATTCCTTATTGGTGGAAATGTTTAATGACTCAATGGAAATAGTCACATTTTGTCCATTGAAAACCACAAAGCTCATGTCTGTTGTTGTTCATGTGTATTTATGCATTTAAAAACGTGTCTCCCAGGATAAGCAGAGTAATTGAAGAATGAGTGCAGTTTTTAAGAAAGGCTATACGGAAAAATATATCATTCGAGACTCAGAGGCACTGCCTTTTGCCTGTGGGCCTCAGCAGTGTTTCGTGAATGACCTCAACGCTGTTTTTTTTCCTTCCTCTTCTGGTGGCTGAGGACAGACAATGAATTCGGTCTCTGTACTCGCCCAGGCTCAGCTGGGCAGTGACTATCGTGCCATTGTCCTCCCTGGGGAGGGCTGCCCACTTGGTAGTGCCGTGAATCCCGGCCTTCCCTGGCATTGACCCTCTCTTTTCTTTCAGCTCCACCATCCCATTAGGAGAAAAGTTGCTGCGCAGTACACAGAGCCAGGTGCCAGAAAAGAGTAGGAGACACTCTGGGGAAGTGGGGAATGAAAGATAAAATTAAAAACCATTGAAAGGGCGGCTCAATCTGCTGCTACCTTAAGCTTTCTCTTCTTTGAGCTGGTGGTGGTGTGTGACAGTACTGCTGTAGTGTCTGGAATTATTTTAATGTTGGCTTTTCAGAAACCCAGGCATTTTTATTAGGTCCTTAAGCTCCTTTGTGGAACCCAGCTTTGAAAAGCTAACAGGGCCCATTCTTAGAGTAGGGTCTCACCTTCCCTTGGGTGCTAACTGATGCGGTCAGCCGGGAAGGATATGGGTTCCTTCTTCCAGGGAATAAACACTCGGAACTCTCTCCTGCTTCCCAGTTCCTGCTTCCCTTCCTGTCCTTGTTGGGTTCCTGCCTAGCCCGGGGCAGCTAGTAGAATCTCCATCAGAAATCATGGCACTACATATGCTTTCTAAGCCCTGTTGATTGATCCTGTTTTGCAGGAGTTAGGGTGGGAGGGTTTTTGTTTTTTGTTTTTCTCAATTAAGTCCTTGAATGTCTATGGAGCTCTTTAAGAAATGGTCCGGTTTGCTTATTTAGTCACAGAGAGGATTCTTTTGTCCCCAGTATTAGGAACTGGTCACCAAATTGCTGTTGGTCATAATTACAGTTTTCTTGCTTCCACTAGTCTTATTCTGAGCCTAATAACTTATGAGATGGGTGAGAATCTCAAAGTTCCTCCACTGATTTGCAAGTGCAAAGCGAGGAACAATTAGGATGCTCAACGTGCTGAGGGCAGAGTCTGTGGAGCCTCGTAATGGATTAACATAAAGCAGGGGTGGGCAAGTGATGGCCCACGGCTAAGAATGATGTTTACATTTTTAAAGGGTTGTTTTTTTAATTAAAAAAAAAAGTACAGCTATGTAACAGTATATGTGATACGCAAGCCCAGAATATTTACTGTCTGGCCCTTTAGAGAAAAAAATTTGCTGGTATAAAATACCAACAGTTATACTGGAAATAGCAAGCTCATAATAAAGTTCTGTGCAAGCTGTTCTTTCATTAGATGTGTTTTTTATACTTTTTCTTTTTTGCGGTACACGGGCCTCTCACTGTTGTGGCCTCTCCCGTTGCAGAGCACAGGCTCCGGACGCACAGGCTCAGCAGCCATGGCTCACGGGCCCAGCCGCTCCGCGGCATGTGGGATCCTCTCGGACCGGGGCACGAACCTGCATCCCCTGCATCGGCAGGCGGACTCCCAACCACTGCGCCACCAGGGAAGCCCTATACTTTTTCTTACTTGATTTGAGAGAGGCTGATTAATTTGTCATTCATTCTCAGGATTATTTTGTTCAACTTGAAGAAAATTTTATTTATTTATTATTTTTATTGAAGTATAGTTGATTTACGATGTTGTATTAGTTTCAAGTGTACAGCAAAATGATTCAGTTATATATTCTTTTTCAGATTCTTTTCCCTTATAGGTTATTACAAAATACTGAGTAGAGTTCCCTGTGCTATGCAGTAGGTGCTTGTTGGTTACCTATTTTATATATAGTAGTGTGTATATGGTAATCCCAACCTCCTAGTGTATCCCTCCCCCCGCTTCCCCCTCTGGTAACCTTAAGTTCGTTTTCTGTCTGTGGATCTCTTTCTGTTTTGTATATAAGTTCATTTATTATATCTTTTTTTTTTTTTTAGATTCCACATACAAGCGATACTCTTTTTCATTGAGTATCTGCAGGATTTTAGGAATCTTAAAGATACTTAAAATGTAAAAGGATATGATACATAGGTTTTGGAATTTGGGGAGGGAAAATAATAAATCCAAGGGTGACATGAGCGGCATATTGAATGTAGAGCCTGAGGACTCTAAACGTGCCGTAAGAGGGCAGCAGATTTGATTATAAGTGTCCCAGTGGCCAAAGCATAATCAGAAGAAAATCGATGACAAAGGTGCCTGTGTTCCATGATTAATGTAAATTCATCTTTCCTTAATGGCCTGGGTCTTAAAAGAGGTCAGCATCTCGGCAAATTAGTTGATATGCTTTGTAGGTAGTCAGCAGCCTGCGCTGAATCTGAACAGCCTGCGCTGAATCTGAACGGCTTCTCGTCTAAATGCTGGGACTGCCTTTCTTCAGCCACCCAGCTCTTAGTCCTGGCTGCTTTCTTGCCAAAGTGCTCAGAGTGCCTTTCGTGATTTCTGATGCTGTGGAACATGGCAGCCCTTCTATCAAATTATTTGTTGAATCAAAGACATAAGTAAGCAACCACTCCTCAAATTAGCACTCCCATCCCTTTTTAATCACAGCCATTGGCATTTGAACAGCCTGGGGCACTCATTGAATTACACTTGAACCTCTTAAACAGTTGTTTACTCTACCACACATGCCTAACTTCTAGCTCTGCAGAAGGGAGCCTCTCATAAGCCATCTTGTGCATTTTCGGAATACTGGTACTACTGCTTCTAAAGCCAGGCTGGATTTTCCCAGTTATAAATAAAAACAGGATCGTCTGAGGTCTGCAGTAGTGTTCAGTCACAATAATATTTATTATATATCTGAAGCTGTCAGATCTCCCAGTTCGAGATAATTAATATTTACATTGATCTTGTTTTAAGTACGTATTTTATAAGGCATAGAAGTCTGGATTCAAAACTCTTAATTTCCCCAAGATGCGCAGATGTCTCATAGGCTTTTTAAATTTAATTCCTATGCTAATTGTTAATCTCTAAAACAAATTTGATTAAGATACACATGGAGTTCACTTTAATGTCATTTTGTGCTTCAGGCACTCAGAAAGCTGTTCAGATTTCAGTGGTAGACATATAAAACCTGGCTGGAGTGAATTAGCCACTTAAAGGCTGCACCTACACTTTAGCACTCAAGTGTATACTGATTTCTACTGTAATTTCTTTTGTGTTGGTTTTACTTCTGTAGGTGGTTAGCCCCTTAGTTGTGTTGACTGTTTTTATATGTATTTCTTCGGTAGCCTCTAAAGCACGTAGCAGTTAGCGAGGTTTCCAGATAATTGTTTTTGTTTTAAGCCTTTAAATTATAGTTGTAATGTGAACAATAATTTACACTTGTATTTTCACTGTATTTGTTAGCTTTTCCCCGGTTTACATTCACTGCATGTGTGTGTGTTTGTGAATTTAGAACAGGGAACAGGAAGTGTGGGCTGTGTATAAGATAAATTTACAGAAGACCATGTCAGCCCTCTTGGAAATACCGTCTTTGAAAGCTTATTATATTTAAAAAGAATGTGAATCGTTCTGTTTAGGCTAAATCTTAAAAGATGTGGTCAATTTAACATCTCAGTCTTCCGCATTAACCATAGCAAAACATCTGGTGGAGATTACAAAATAAGTCAAGTTTATTTCTTAAGGCTTGGAGATTTTAAAATTCTACCCTATAATTAAGTAAAGTAGGAAAAATAGGACTCCTTCGGTATCTGATTTCCAGAGTTTCAAAACCCAAGTACCTGTTTGCTCAGCATCACATTGTGTTAGGGGTTTTGTCTCATAGATGCTTAAATTCTCATGCATTTTAGGCTATTGCTTTTGTTTAACTGTTTTTTAAAGTACATTCTGGTGTCGGCTGGCACTTGAGCATCTCTAAACCCTTGAACAGAAGGGAAAAAATTGAAGTGTGTTTTAAATAGGTTATAAAAGGTGCAGATGCAGATTAAACTTTACCTTGAGGTGCTTCCTGCCATATCAGTAAATCACAAGAGGTAGGTAGCACGGAAGGGAGTAAATCCTGGCAGAGCAAGGCTGTTGGGCAAAGGTATTCTACGCGGTCACTTGGTGGAGTCTCCAAGTGACCAGTTCCTCCTCCCGCAGAGATGCAGCGTGGGTAGGCAGGCAGAGTGTAGTGTCACACGCTGGCTGAAAGATGCTTTTTGCAGTCAAAACCAGAGCAAGGTGCATTTGAGGGGCTTAAAGCCCAGGGTACAACCCAGCCGAGAGAGTTGTTTTATTTAGAGAGGCTTCTCCAAGTCCCAGGCCTGCAGCAAGACCCGACAAAGGTTTCCAGTGAGTTGGCAAGATGTATTCTATTCTACTCAGGCCTCTGGGAGATCCAGGGTTAATTTATTTTATTTTTTTATGAACTTTTTTTTATATATAAATTTATTCATTTAATTTTTGGCTGCAATGGGTCTTTGTTGCGGTGCGCGGGCTTCTCATTGCAGTGGCTTGTCTTGTTGCGGAGCACGGGCTCTAGGCACGCGAGCTTCAGTAGTTGTGGCTCGCGGGCTCTAGAGCACAGGTTTCAGTAGTTGTGGCTCACGGGCTCTAGAGCGCAGGCTCAGTAGTTTTGGCACACGGGCTTAGTTGCTCTGCGGCATGTGACCAGGTCTCGAATCCGTGTCCCCTGCATTGGCAGGCGGATTCTTAACCACTGCGCCACCAGGGAAGCCCTCCAGGGTTAATTTAAATAGGCATTGGCATGAACTATGGGTTAGTAAATAAAGTAATAGTTGTACATTTTTAGTTCATGTTCCGTGTATTATTTTTTACATACATATGACTAGCTATTTATGTGGTTACTCTCGTGGACTTCACTTTCAATAGGGAAACAAGTACTATAATTGAAAAATGCAGTGTCCTTTGAGCCACTGAACCACATCTAAGGGCATCCCTCCTTTTCAGACCACTATCCCAGGTGTCGGTGCTGTCGTGGTGTGTTGTGTGAAGATCAGGCACCATCCTGGGGAGACAGCAGCCTCTGAGGAGCTGCTATGCAAACCGCAAAATAGCTATGAATATCACAGCCCTGGACTGACCAGACGTCTGCACTCTGCTTGTTCTCTCCTAGTTTCGGCGCTCGTTTGGACTTTCACAATCAGAGATGGCAGCAGAGGTAAGTTTTTTTTTTTAACTGATGAGAAAAGAGGTAAGTTTTAGTCTTTAAGGTCTTGGTGTCTCATTGCATGATGGAGAAGACCGAAGAAATACATCAGAAAACTAAAGGTAGAGCACCATCGGGTGTGTTGCTCGTCATCTTTTGTCCCAGGCACTGAGGAGTGGGCCGCCAGCACGTTTAGGGGGCAGAGGGGGAGGGACCGGAGAACATCATGTTCACCAGTTCGTGTGGTTCTTGGCAGGCGTTTCTAACTTGGAATTAGTCATTTAATCACAGTGGGTGGAGAGGCCCAAGATGATAGACATCGGGTCCTCTTGCCCCCTGCGTCTCATCTAGAAATGATCATTATTAGCCTCTGTCCCCACTTTATAATGGGCCGTAACCTCAAACTAATTGTTCTCTGTGTGCCTCATGCGCATGTACCTCAGAGCAAGTGTGCACATGCCTGGCGCCCATCGTTGGCGTGAGGCCCGCCTTATATTCTCCTTGGCCCCGTAGCACCCTCGTGGAGAGGAGATATTTAGTAGATACGCAGTAAACGCACGGTTAGTTGATTGAACGTTTGGAGGTTTCTCTTGAGGCTGAACCACGTGCTGTCTAGCCTACATTTTTTTGTGTTTTGTAGCCGGCAATAGCGCTAGCTCTGGAGTCTTGGCCCTCTCATCCGGTCTACGCAAGATACTGGCAACATTACCATCAAGCGATGGCATGGATGCGCTGCCACCAGAATGCCTATCGGAAGGCCATGGAATCTTGCTTCATGTCCCCGTGGTACTCTTCTGCCATGGGCCTTCCCCAGAGCGCTTATGCTAAGGAGGGCGGAAGGCCTCAGTCCTGCTACGAGCATCCCCCAGCATCCCGGGACTCCCACCACAGTCATTCACATGCTGGCGGGCGTGGACCACATCCACGCGGCAGAGGAGAGCCAGCTTGGTACGCACGGGAGGAGAAGGAGAGAGAGAGCGAGTCCGACGATGGCGGCATAGAATGCGACGTGAGCAACATGGAGATCACGGAGGAGCTACGCCAGTACTTCGCCCAGACGGAGAGGCACCAGGAGGAGCGCCGTAAGTGCAGCCCGCCCCTCTCCGCGGCCCCACGCCTGGCCTTGTCTCCTGCCCACATTTATTTTTATTTATTTATTTATGTTGGCTGCCCTGGCTCTTACTTGTTGCACGCAGGATCTTCATTTCAGCACTCGCTGGCCTGCGGGCTTCTTAGTTGCGGCATGCATGCCGGATCTAGTTCCCCAACCAGGAATTGAACCCAGGCCCCCTGCTTCGGGAGCGTGGAGTCTTACCCACTGGACCACCAGGGAAGTCCCGTCCGGCCCTCATTTATAACCTTTTAAATCCTCCCTTGGGTACAGATAATATTTCAAACCCAATCCTAAGCCTGGAAAAGCTCTGGTGATGTGGTACCTCACTTATATTAGTTTTCAGGGTTGTTTTAATATAGGACTTTTTTTTTTTTTTTTTAGTTCTAGAACAAAACTTATCCTAATAGTACCTCTGCCATTTACTGAATTTCAGACACTACATCAGATGGAGTGTGTGCATATGTGTGAGTGTGTGTGTGTGTGTGCGTGAGCGCGCATTCCCTAGTCTACACAACAGTCTCTCAAGGTTTTAAGCCCATTTCACATATAAGGAAAGTGAGCCTTCAGGAGCTTCATTGACTTGTTCTGTGGTATCAACTAGTAATTTGCTGTTAGGATTCAAAGCACGGTGTGTGTGACTCCAGTTCCTGTGCTCGTTCCTCTAGCACAGACTCAGGGCTTAGGACCACTAGGTTCCTAAAATGCTGCTGCCGCCTCACTGGTGCACAGCTCAGAGACTGCCCTGGTGTTGCAGAGCTACCGGGTCTTAAATCTCAAGCTCCCTCCAGAGTCGACACCAGTGGGAACCTAAAAAGAATAACAAAATGCCTGGTATTGACCCTCTCCGGTTTGATTCTGTGCCGTGGCTGTCTGTTCCTGGGGTTAGAGAATTGTGATAATGGTCTTAAATCTTCAGTCGGAAAGCAGGAATTTTATGTTTTTAATTTCTTACTAACTTGCCACAAAAAAATAAAACTGCTTTTTGTGCTTTCTTTACTGTTAAGATTCACCAGCCCATTTACATTTTCAGTGTCTCTAACAGACATACATATGCTTTTCTCCCTATTACAGCATGCCGTCTCAATATTGGTTTTATTGAGTTCTAATTATATATTTTGCCTAGAATTTTCTAGTAAACGGAGACATAGAAGCCTGGGGATGGGTGCATTTCATTTACATCTTGATTGATCTGTGTTTTCCTAATGATGGGCGAGCATGTATTGATTCCCCCACTGGGTGCCAGGAACTGAGCAGTGGGCTGTGTATGAAGTCTCATGCCCTTTAGTGTCTGCCTGTGATTCTTCACTACTCATTCAGTTTTACCTCCCTTCTTTTGATTAAACCTTTGACTTCTTTGATGCGTATTAGAAAGTATATGCAAACAAGTATTTTTAAAACGGTACTTTCTATTAGACATAGAATGCATGTCTTTCCTTGATCTTCGGGAATAAATTTTACCTTTTTTCAAAATACGTTTGAAATAACTGTTAGTCTAATTTAAAAGCATGTAACAGATGAGGGAGACTTGACATTGGAGCATGTCCACGTGTGGTTGGAATGCTGTTTGTTACAGCTTTTGAAGAAGAAAATATGATGGAGACAGGGCTTGTTTCTGTTGTCCGTACCCAAAGGCAGAAGAACATGTTTTTCCTGCCAGAGAGAGTGCCACATTTATGATAGAAGTTGTAATTAAGGATGAGAGCAAACCCCAGCCATCTAAAAGTCCATTTTGAATGACCTGCTAATTTAAAATAAACCTGACAGAGTTATTCAATGAAAAATAGAGATAGATGAATGATGTGAAAATAGAATAATGAAATGCGTCCTTCACATGTCAGCAGTTCAGTTACAGATGTCTGGTTAAGAACCATCCTTGTTTCTGTGTCTTGCCTTTGTCAGGTAGAATTCTAGGTAGGTTAAGAAAAAGTCATGAAAATTGCCTGCTAAGTTTTGCCTGGCACTTAATATTATTTTGAACGAATGAATGAAGTCTTTCAGTATTAATTATGAGCCTTAAATCAGAACTTTTCAAACCTTATCCCATGAAGTGCTAAACTTGCTGTGGTTCTTTGGGCCATTTTACAAGGTGAGGTAGGCATTGAATATTTTATAAACTTGAGAAACTGCATGTTTCGTTTGATATCATCCCTAAATCTGCTTAGTTGACATCAGGGCTCCAAGTCCTATTATTATCATCACTGTTATGGGTTGAATTGTGTCCGCTAAAAAAAAGATTTGTTGGAGTCCTAAACCCCACCCAGACCTCAGGATGTGACCTTATTTGGAGAGAGGGTCTTCACAGAGGTAACAAGTTAAAATGAGATTAGGGTGGGCCCTGATCCAGTATGACTGGTGTCCTTATAAAAAGAGAAAAATTTGGAAGCAGAGACAGACGCGCACCCAGGGAGAATGGCACGAGAGGACTGGAGTTCTGCTGCCACAAGCCAAGAACTGCCAGAACCTAGGAGAAAGGCCTGGAACAGACCTTCCCTAGTGCCTCTGGACGGGCATGGCCCTGCTGACAGCTTGATCTCAGACTTCCGGCCTCCCCAGCTGTGAGACAAGACATTTCTGTTGTTCTAAGGCACCCAGTGTGCTGCACTTTGTTACAGCAGCCCTAGGAAACTAATACAGTCACCCTGTCAGAATTTTCTTTGTTTCCAAATGCAGTCTGTGAGTGGGATGTAAAGTGAACCACACAGGTCTTGTCATTGCCGTGAAGAAAATCTGGTACATGTTTGTTTTACCGTGATCTAGATAGCAAACCAACAAAGAAGGGAATTTTATGGAAACCCTTACAACCTCCATCCCTACTCACCGATACTTACATTATTGTTAGTAGAATTAGGCAGGAGTAGCTGTGGCAGGACCGCTGGAATCACAGGCTTCCAGCCCCGCTCCAGCCCTTACTAGCTGGAGGTTCTTATCCTGTGCACTGCTACCCTGTGCCTCAGTCTCCTCATCTGTGAAATGGGGATTCTAATGAATGGGCTGCTAACTATGAAGATTAAATGAGATAAAAGTTATACAACAGTGCTCTGTACGGAAGTCAGTGCCCAAGAAGTGTTAGTTGTTATGGTTTGTTGCCAATAACTCATCCTTTAACATGGATTATTAACCATGAACTGGTTTTACTCTGATACTGTCTTGATTAGTGCTTGATTGTTATTTTTCTTGATTGAAGTATAGTTGATTTACAATGTCATGTCAGTTACTGCTGCACAGCAAAGTGACTCAGTTGTACATTTATATATTCTTTTTCATATTCTTTTCCATTATGGTTTATTACAGGATATTGAATATAGTTCCCTGTGCTCTACAGTAGGACCTTGTTGTTTATCCATCCTATATATAAAAGCTTACATCTGCTAATCCCAAACTCCCACTCCACCCCTCTCCCACCTCCCCTCCCTCTTGGCAACCAGAAGTCTGTTCTCTATGTCCGTGAGTCTGTTTCTGTTTCATAGATCAGTTCATTTGTGTCATATTTTAGATTCCACATATAAGGGATATCATATGGTATTTGTCTTTCTCTGTCTGACTTACTTCACTTAGTATGATCATCTCTGGTTGCTGATTAGTGAGTGCTTGATTAAGATTCTGCATATTTTTAATAAAGTATTCTCTGACTTCGAAAAAAAAGTCATATATTTCGGCCCTAGGCAGCACTTTTCAAACTCTTAAATTGATTTAGAATATTTAAAACATAAAAGAATGAAAAGCTTTGATATCTGTCGAATTGAGCCACTAATACAATTTTGTCAAAGTAGTCATTACTACAACTTTTAGTCTGTTTCGAGGACATTCTTGCTTGATATAAGTTAATATAGTAAACTACACAGGCTGGGGAAATGAACCTGCTTCCACCTTCCTCATAACAGCACTAAACGCATCGAGCTTCCGCTGCTTTGCGCTTTAAAAACGTGTAATTGTAGCATAATTCAAAATTGCTTGTTCTGGGATCTCTGATGCTCTTGTGTCCTGCAGCCCGCCCTGAAAGCTTTATCAGGTCCCCGGGAGACATGAGAGTTGTCTGGCGAGGGTGAGAACAAGGCTTTGGTGTCGGAATCGAATCTTCCTGCGAAAGATGCGGCCTCTGTGAGAAGCAGCCGCCAGGCCCTGACGCTGCCCCACCAAAAATAATGGGCAGCACTTCACCAGCGCTAGGTTTTTCACCAGCACTTTCAGTGGCGTATGGGATCAATTCGTTTTCCTTGGAGCAGTCATGAATGATGGCATTCAGGCATAAGTAATTGGAATGCTCGTGGTGCTTTCCAATCCATTACCTTCACTAGAAATGCTCACAGAGGTTTAGTTACATACACCGTTGGGAGATGTTTGAATAAAGAGGTGAGGGACCTGAGTCATGTGAATACTCGGTTGAAGTTGTTTTGCTCTTTGAGCCGCTAGAGGCTACTTATTCAATTAGGACAAATTCAGCCCCTGAACATGAGTCATTTAGAGAACACAGACTGTATAAAATATTACTAGCAAGGGAAAGTGTAGCTAAACCTGAAAGATACAGCTTTTCAGGACTATTCACCTCCAAAGGAATGTATACGTTATATAATTCATCATCATCTGAGTTATTTAATATTTTCTTGGGATAAAATCCTTTAGACTGGACAACGTGTTCTTGTTTGTGATTACCACTCCTCCAGACAGTCTCTAATTTCACATATTTCAGCAATAAAAAGTAAAAAAATATTAAGTAGGGTAAACAAAGAACTCTTTTTTGTGCAGCAGTAACAGGCATGCTTTTGATTATATTATATCATCGTTTCCTAGCGAGATATTGCTGTTACTTAAAACTTCACTGGTAACATTACTTATGGGAAAGTAGACAGTTGTGAAGTTTTAAAAGGTCAGCTGTGTTGTCAGTTATTTCTTAGGAAAAATGTTTATTGTTAGGTTAAGGAAGGTATCATTTTATAGTCATAAATAACCATCAGTTGAGACTGCGAGGTC